AGTACATGGAGCGCCCGTTTGACGCAATCGCCGTGGAGATGGTACGAAGCGTTGTGAATCTGGTGGTCATGGAGGTGAGTTTGCAAGAGACACGCACTCTTGCTTCTTGGTGTGGGAAATAGAAGAAAAAGCTCCATCAAGGACACGACTAATTGCCCTGCAGTGGTTCTGGGGCGCTGACGAGAGCATGTTTGCTCACATGAGAGGCATCAAACGCATGATCAAGCTGCGCAATGGGATGAGGGGGTTGAAAGACATCGTAGGCGAGAGCATCATGATTCTGTAAGACCGCCTCCAGCATCGTCAGGGTGCTGCCGCAATAATACTCACGATTGATGACCAGAACCGATTATGAGATTGCATGCTGCTTCGAGACCGACCTCTACTGGCAGGAAAACGACCCGGTGCGGGACGAAGAAATACCAGTTCCAACGACGTGGCCGGACGGGTATGACAGCCCACTGCTGGCTTCACCGACAAGCTTCGAGAGTGTTGCGGAGACGCTTGGGTTGTGCGTAGAAGCAGCGCGGGTGCTCGACGACGTGCGTTTTCTCACGATGTCGGTGACCTCGGCGGCGGCAGGGTTGGCGACAGGAGGAAGCCCGAAGATCCGAAGCACGGCATCGTGGCTGTACGATAAGCTGGGAAATTTGGGAGCGTCACGTTCGCGGCCCACAGAAGCCAGCTCAGAGGCGGACTGGGTGCTTGAGACAGTCAGGCTCGCGGGGCTGATCTACAGTTGGGCGGTGAGGTCTCTCCGCCAAATTTCAAAGTTTGACGATCAGGAGGTGCTGGAAGACGCGTACATGGCAATGCGACGGGTGAGTCTGGTGACCTGGAAGAAGATTCCGGGGGTCTTCCTGTGGATCATGTTGGTGGCGGCACCCAACGCGGGAGCGGACGCCAAGGGCAGGTTCGTCCGGAGGAAAATGGCCGTGACCGGGCTGTCGATCGGGTTTGAGGACTTTGTGCTCGGGATATCGTATCTGAAATCTTTCTGGGCGGTCCAGCAGTGGATCGCCAAGGAGGGCGATGCAGGTGTGCAGCGGCTCGAGGACAAGTGGTCGCTCGGGCTGGGAATGGGAATGGGAAAGGAAATGACTGCGACGGTGGCAATGGGAGTGAGAGAAGGAGGAGTGAGAGGAGGAGTGGAAACGGAGAGCGGCGGGCGGAAGCAGAAGCCGCAGCCGGAGATGGAGCTTGCGATAGAGCCGGGACACTGACAGAGTGTCAGAGGCAGGAGAAGGAGATGGAAAGGAAGCTTTGACATTGGTGAGAGCCCAACAGAAGCGAAGGGAGGGTCGGGAGGAGAGACGAGAGAGGGTCAGGCTCAGGCTCTGGCTCTGCATCGGCTCGTGTTTGGTTGTTGCATTGCGTGTTCGAACGGAGTCATGCGTCACGATGGCATCAAAATTTGACTGGTCTGACCGAGTCTGTTGGTGGCGCAGGAGTCGGGGATGTTTGATGAGCTCGTCTCTGGGTCGTCTGGCCGAACGGACTTGTGGCCGTGGCCGTCAAGCTACTACCAGTACGGATACCAGGTATGGATGGTGCTCAACGGGGGAGGGATCGATGAATCAATCACGATGGTGGCACAAAGGCAAAGGAAGGGAAAGGAAACATTGGGGGCCCCTTTCACCCCGAAAGGGATTCGCCCTCGGATTCCCCTTTTGGGCAATCCGGCGGGGGGTCCCTGACTGCACTCCGCATTCCCCCAGACTGGATCCACTCCCGGATGGCCTGGACTGGGGGGCGTGGAGTTGCATTGCTCGACGTGCCAGTCTGGACTTCTATTTCGCGGCAGACGGCAGGGTCCAACTTCCCTGTGCAGTGGTCACGAAGACAGAAAAAGGGTTCACGATGGACCCATATCTGCAGCCCAGTGCTGCTACTCTCGATGTAGTATCCCAATAGTGTTTGACCCGGGATTCCAGCCGGGACCCAGCAGACCCAGCAGACCCAGCAGTACCTTACCGTGTATCCATCATTCACTTCACAGCCCACTTACCAGCAGCACGCAGTAGAGTAAGTTACACTGGGTCAGATGAGATTTGCTTCTAGCATGGTAGAGTAACAGAAGAATGTTCCATTCGCATCCTTGACAGTTGAGGCAAGCCTTGAGAGCTTTACTTAGACAGTACGGAACGTTCCCTGTCTCCCGACGTTCCGACGAATCATGTCTACGTTTCGTGTGAACCGTGAACCAACGGATCCCGCCGGTGTGTTTCCGCCGCGGGGCCCAGGGTCCTGTGTCCGCTTCCAGGATGCCTGCTTGTGCCTGCTGGTGCTTGCTTGATTGCTTGGAGCCCAAGCTCGTGGGTGGTGGGCGCCTCCAATTGCTGTTTCTGAGCTTCTTTTGGTAGCTCGTCCCTCGTCGTCCGTCTCGCCATCGCTTCCTTTCCCCTCCTTTCCTCCCCTCCCCTCCCCTCGTCTCCCCTTCCCCCCGGGGCGCTGGCCTAGTACCGTAGCTAAAGAGCTTACAGGAACATGGGCGGGGATCTTGAATCTGATATCTGACAACCACCGCATGACCTGTCTCGGAAAATGGCGGACCCTCTGGTTTGGATGTTCTAGCCTTCCCCCCTACCTGGGAGAGACCTGCAAGAGCTCATGCGGCCGCGACGCGCAGTTGGGACGGACAGATAGACACGCACATACACACACACACACACATCCTATGCAGTACACATGGACCTAGAACAACGGGGCGGCACCGAGCCCGCGGCCGCGACGGTGGGCCACTTCCACTTTTTTTGCTGCTCACTTGACATCCGACGATGCTAAGAAAAGAATAGGGCAAGAGAAAAGAAAACACGGTTGAGGCGAAAGTGAGGGCGGGACGTCCGGCCAGACGACACGAGGCTTGTCGCAGTCGCCCAGTCCGCATCCGGACCGGACCAGCCAGGGACATGTGTCTGTCTGTCTACCTTACCTTAGTGACCAACAACAACAACAAAACCCCCCTGGGGCGCACCAATCAACCCAGAGAGACCAGACCTTGTCGATGCCAATGCCTGCTTCGGCGCTAGCAGCTGTTCTGTTGGTGCAACTGTCGCGCGTGCGGTTCGGTGCCGTGCCATTGAGCTTCGGTTCGGGGATGCTGATCTGAGAATTGGATTGGCATGACGGGAGGAAAGGATCCTATCCTGGATGGGCGTGGCGTGGCGTGGGTGAAGGAAGGGCGAAGGGTGAGGGGGCAAGACCTACCTTGGGCATTGCCTGTGCGGGGGAACGGGAAACCCAGCCCGGCATGCCAAAGTTGACGATATTAGTCGTTCCAAAAGGTATAAAGACGAGAGAAGACGAACCGCTCTCAGGACTTGAGGAACAGCTCGTCACTCTACACACTCATCAACTCATCACTCTTACAACACACACAAGCAACCAAACGCTCCTCCTCTTCGTCGATAAAGTTTCCGCCCTCCCGTCTTAGACGCCGCCGCCGCTTTCATCTCAAGCTCATTCACACACACACACACACTTACACCCACATACCTCGACCGTGCGACATCGCTCCTCCATCTCCTCCGTCTGCCCTCCCTAGAGACAACCACCGGCTTCCACCACCAACGGATCACCACTTGCCATTGACTTCCAGGCCAAACTTTCCATCCTTCTTGGACTTTGCACATATCTTAACTGTCAATTCGACAAGATGTCTCGGTACGTAACCCGTCTGAGGCCGTTCGCTCTCGGCGCCCAGCTCAACAAGGCGCATTCCAGGCTCGCAACCCAATCTCTCCCCGTCGCTCCTCTGGCTGCTGAGCCCCTCCTCAACCAAACCGTCGTGAACCCCGTCGTGAACCCGGTCAGGAGCTTCAACACCACTCCCAAGGCCGCCGTCCCCCTCACATCGCCTACCATGACCCGCGTCCTCCCCGAGTTCAGCCTCCACGGCAAGGTCATTATCGTCTCCGGTGGTGCCAGAGGTCTTGGTCTCACACAAGCCGAAGCTCTCCTCGAGGCCGGCGCAACTGGTAAGAAACCCCACGAAACCAACTTACACACACTTTAGGCGCACGACACTAAAACACACGCTTTTACAGTCCACGCCATCGACCGTCTCCCCAAGCCCGACCCCGACTTTGAGAAGGTCGCCCTCAGAGCCGAGACGGAGCTCGCCACCACCCTCACCTACCACCAGGTTGACGTCCGCGACGTCGCCTCCCTCAACGAGATTGTCGCCGGCATCGCCGACAAGCACGGCCGTCTCGATGGCCTCATCGCCGCCGCTGGTATTCAGCAGGAGACTCCCGCCCTCGAGTACAAGGCCGAGGACGTCGACAGGATGATGGGCGTCAACGTCACCGGCTGCTTCATGACTGCGCAGGCCGTTGCTCGTCAGATGATCAGACTCAACACCCCCGGCAGCATCGTTCTGATCGCCAGCATGAGCGGCACAGTCGCCAACAGGGGATTGATCTGCCCGTAAGTTCTCACATCTCATCTACCCCTCTCTTCCCCTCAATAGCCATGAGGATTCGCGAATCCTTCTATGAGGAGAAGTTCCTTCGTGGTGACACAAAACTGACGTAACACGCGGCTTGCAGTGCATACAACGCCTCCAAGGCTGCAGTTCTGCAACTCGGACGCAACCTCGCGGCTGAATGGGGCGTGCACAACATCCGCGTCAACACCATCTCGCCCGGCTACATCGTGACCGCCATGGTCGAGGCGCTCTTCGAGACCTACCCGGAGCGCAAGGAGGAGTGGCCCAAGCACAACATGCTGGGCAGACTCAGCAGCCCGGGCGAGTACCGCGGCGCCGCCGTCTTCCTGCTCAGCGATGCCAGCACCTTCATGACGGGCAGCGACCTGCGCATTGACGGAGGCCACTGCGCCTGGTAGACCGTTGCTGTTGCATGGTTTAGAAGGGAGAAAAGTGTCTTTTTATTGGGTTGATTGGTCGTAATACATCGATATCAGGAGTCTAGCGTATCATCTTGTTTTTTACACATATAATACAATCACATTTTATATTAGCTTTTTTTTGGTCTTTCTCAAGCGGGACTCGTGATGCCCGGACGACCCAGCTTCTCCACGATGCCCTTCTTCAGATTGAGTCTTTCCTCAATCTGAGCTGACGAGTGTCCCTTGTCGCGCATCAGATGCATCTGCACGATGGTGTTGAGGTCCAGCAACGTCCTGCCGTCGTTCCCGCTCCTGCCCATGTTCTCAAACTCCTCTTCAGCTCGCTGTTGCAAGGCGCGCCTCGCCTCCAGAGTAGCCAGTGTCGCGTTTCGTGACGTGGGAGGGAACAAGGGCCCCGGGTTCGAGATGGCAGCCGCGTGAGCTGGCAGCGACGCCGTCGAAGTGGCAGAATATGTCGGGTTGGGCTGCACGACGCCCATCTGGCGCAGGCGGGAGGAGAACTCTTCGCTGACTTCAGGGTTGATTGAGTCCGCGAGGACATCTGGAAGAACAGCGTGTCAGCGACGCTTTTCGGGCCATTTGGTCAGGAAGAACAGCTTACCATCTGTCTTGGACGTCGCAGCCTGTGCCTTTGGATGTGTGTTCGGCTGCGATTGAGTAGGGGCCGGAGCTGCCCTGTTCGCTGATGTGGGCGGCACGGCGCCGGGCGCGCGGGTCGGGAACTTGCGCGCCGCGCCTTGTGCTGCTTTTGACGATGATGCGCCCATTGTGCCGTGCTGTGTCAATTGGTCGTCGGTGAGAACCAGCGATGGCGAAGTGGAAATGGAGAGCAAATGGAACGCTGTGAGCGACCGGGGAAGCTTGAGATTCTTTCGCGGGCGACAGCTTATCGATAAGCAGCTTTACAGGGACCGCCGCCGATGACGCTTCTATGATTCCTGGGGGACCGAGGCACGTCAGACGATTCCCCTGGTCTCTGATTGGCTGCAATTACAGAGTACAGCGGTCACTTTCCCAGGTCTGGGGTAGCTGATCTTTTCTCCAGCTTTTCAATGTACACACAGAAAGTTCCATTAACACATAATATGTACAACGAAGAAGAAGCTTATTTACGCGGTCTTGCGAGATTTTACCGGCCGCATTGGTTGCACCACTTCTCGGGCCTCTCACTCATCATTTATCAACACATCATCACACTCAGCTGATCTCTGCGACGTGGTTCGTGACCAAGCAAGTCCACTCGTCGGTGCCGTAGTAGATGGTGTTGCCGTCGTTGTGAGTCTGTCCGGTGCTGATGGTGTCGCCAAGTTGCCAGAAAGCATCGCCAGCCATGCCGGCAGTCGTCGCCGACGTGATCTGCCACGGCCTCTCCAGCTCGCAGTGCCGCTCGGGGGTGCCGTCTAAGTCTCCGTGTCAGCAAAGTTTTCTGTTTCTTGCATTGCCGCCTCGAGTGAGGCTACTGTTTCCATTGCGTATCATTCACTTACACTCCTCAAAGAAGCATGGCTTGTTTGCCGCAACGCACTGAACAGCGTGGTCCGTCACCCACTTGCTGCCCGCGTCGTACCCGAGTCCCCCTATCTTCATGTCAGCTACCATCACCCCTCGAGCGAGATAGATATCTTCCCTCAGAACTTACATGAGTTGGGGTAGAAGTGGAAGGTCGCAAAGTCGAGCGTGGTGATGTTCAAGAGGGCAACCCAGTCGGTTCCCTCAGAGTACTGGTACGGGTACGAGGTATCCCCGGGCAGTCCCATGCCCTCGTCGCCGAGCGTCACCATGTGGTTGGGGTCGAGGCTCTTCACATACTGCGACGTCGTCTTGGCCCAGTTGTAGATGACGCTGGTGCTACAGCCCTGGCAGCGGGGCTCGTTCGCCAGCTCCCACGCGAGGATGGCGGTGCTCGACTTGAATCGGCTCACCACGGCCTCGATGTACTTCTTGTACTGCGTCTGCGCGGCCGTGTTGGTGTACCAGCCGTTGTGGTCGCCGCCGAAGGCGTTGACGTAGGCGTTGATGCCGCCGTAGTCGTTCCAGTTGTTGACGAAGTTAATGATGAGCTTGATGCCGTTCTTCTCCGCCGACGCGACGACGGCGTCGAGGCGCTGCAGCCCGTTGGCGCCCGTGTTGATGGTCGACCCGGACGCGCTGAGGTACTGGAAGTACACGTCGTTGGACGGGATGGAGTTGACGTCGTTGAAGCCCCAAATACGCAGGATCTTGAGGCCCGAGGACTTGAGGTGGCCCATGACGAGGTCGACGTCGGCGTTTTGCGAGGAGCTCAGCATGGAGATCCAGTACGAGTTCGTGCCGGCGTAGTACTTGGTCACCCCGTCGATGTTGAACTTGGTGCCGACGGCCTTGGCGAAGCCGGTGCCGGTCGCGGGCGGCGCAGCGGTGGAGGAGGTTCGGACTGAGGAGGAGCTTGAGGTGCGGACGGTGGAGGTGGCGAGGGTGCTGGTCCGGGAGGTGGTCGTCGGCGCGGCGGTGCCTGTGGATGTTCAGCTCTTGTTCTTCAGCAAGAACGATGTTGTGGCGACTTACCGGGAACGCACTGCGAGTACCAGGCGTTGGAATACTGGCATACGGCGCCGGCCACGCAGGTCGTCGGTCCCGTCCAGCCCTGTCCACCGCATTGGCCGTACAGAGCTTGCTGCGCCGAGGCGGCAGCCGCGAGAGAGAGCACTGCGGCAACGACTGACTTCATGATGAAAGACTGCGTTGGTGTTGTTCCTGCAAACTACTCTTCAAAAGCAATCGAGAATGCGCCGGTGGGATGCCGTCGTTTTGTAGTCTCGACGTGCATCGCCCACATCGTCCTGATCGGCAACATCAGCCTCTGCGGATCGTCGTCCTCCTTGCCCCTCGAAAGCTTTTTGCCATGTGACTGCGAAATTCCATCAATGGCGTCCCGAGGACTCGTCCTGTGTCAAGCCACGGCGGACGGCTGGACCCTGATCTCGAACGATGCAGTTAGGCACTCCGCAATCGATGGGAACGCATCCGAAAACACCGGGGCGGATGCGAAAAAGCAGCTTGTTCACACCCACTTCAGGTCTTGGGATGGGTGGCCCGATATGACATACCTGCGCTGGTTCTGCGTTACATTGCATATCCAGGGCGGGAGACTGGTCGTCAATTAGAAGTCATCTGGGGCCGCAGAACCAAGATTCTCATTTTCGCTTCCACCGATCTGCCCAACATTCAGCCGTTCATTGTTTTGAACCAGCAAAACACGGTCTCAACCAGCTTTCCACCGACTACCCAATTTCTTTTAGTGAATGAACTTCGCGATGAGATAGGTGGTGAGTCAAAGTACAAGTCACATCAAAGACCCAGCGGCTCTTCTTGGACATAACATCCGCCTCAACGTATGGGGCTGCAACGGCGGACCATGGTCCCCCGAATTCCGCTTTCGAACATCGCGCCCTCGACCCCGCGTCAACGGCAAACCGGCCACAAAGCTAGCACGCTTTTGCAGCTGTACACGTACAAAAGCGAAAACGAGCTGAGTCGACAACGCGGGCCGTCAGGTTCCTGGATTTGATTCCAGTTAGTCATCCGCAGCTTGCGGGATGTACGCGATGCAAATGGCGGGTTGTCCCGAACACCGCCCATCCGCGACCCCGCCACTCCGGCAGCGTGATCCGGACGTGGACGTGGATGCAGCTGAGATGTCGGACCACAATTCCTGTCAGCAGTCTCTAGGGTGGCACAAAGTTCATGTGCAAGGCCGAGTATATTCTCGTCTTTTTGTTCATCTCTCGTCAAGTCAATCCAAAGGCTGCTGTAGGCCGTACAGTTATTTCTTAATTCCGGAGGCTTTCTGCTTCTTTCTGCTTGAGCTCCGTAGCCATCGCCGATGCCGAAGACTTTTCGGTGGCCACGGGCGCCACTCCGTCGGTCTCGATGTACAACTCCATCACCTTCGGGCCGGGGTAATGTTTGACGGCGTGCACCGCCCACCACAGCCCGGTAATCGCCACCGTCCCTACCAAGATTACACTGCTCCAGTTCATAGACGCTTCGCTCACTGGTAGCACAAAGGCTGTTGGCAGTAAGTCAGCTTGATTGCCCAGAAACAAACACACGGCAACATTGAAGACGCAGACTCACGAAAGCAAAAGAGAACATCAAACAACACGATGAACAGGACAGCCAGGCCGTTGACCGCGTACCCCGCTCGCCCTAGGTGAAACGGCCCCTTGGGAAAATACTTGCGGCCTGACAGCATGTTTGCCGCGAAGGGGATGGCGTAGGATATGGTTGTCAAAACGACAAAAGATCCAGCGATGGCGAGGAAAGCCGTCGAACTGCCAAGCGGAATGGCACCTATCCCGGTAGCAAGCACGCCTGTATTGGACGTCAGTCAAATTGAGCACTGGGACGTTGCAAGACCTCGACTCGACTTACAGACGAACAGGGTTGACCAGACGGGACAGCTGAGCCGTTCGTTTACTCGGCCAAACAAAGCTGACAGCGGCACGGCGTTGTCTCTGGCCAGTGCCCAGTAGGTCCTCGAAACCTTCGCGAGTTCGTTAGTCGTTGGTTGACGCGACTCAGACGGGGAGTTGTTTCCCCTAGTCAACCCCTAGTCAAAGGTAAACCGGCACTTTTGCTTACAGTCAACGTCAGACCCACACAGCAGGTCAAGGTGCAGATGAGCATGATGAACAGAAGCCCGAAAGCTGCGCCCGGATTGCGCACGCCGTTATCCCCGGCCGTTGCTTGAACGTAGATGTTGGTCAATGGAAAGGTGTTGAAGCCGCCCTGGAGGGCGGTGATGTCTGTGATGGCGTACGACAAGGCGACGGCGAAACAAAAGGCATCTGGCACACAAGTCAACCAACATCTGTCTTTCAATAAGATGAGCCAAAGACTTACAGACGAACCCCAGAGTGATCTGCAACATGATCGCTTTGGGCAGGTCCTTCCGGGGATGGCCCATCTCCTCCGCCATATGCGTAACTGAGTCAGGAGTCCCGATCGTAAAGGCGCCATTGAGGACGCCCAGGAGAAACGCGACCCCGCCCGACCAGCCGGTGGCATTATTCTCGTTGAAAGAGGACCAAACAAAGTGGTTGGTCGCGTGGCGTTTCGGCATCGCCGCCAGGATGATGATGGTCACGATGCCGCCGACGATGACGAAGAAGGTGCCCACGTGCTGGGTGTGCGGCGCGTACTTGTTGGCGAAGACGATGAAGAACGCGGAGCCCCAGAGGATCAGGAGGTATCCGATGAAGACGTGGTACGGCTGGCTGACGTAGGTGTCGAGGTGGTAGACTGCGTACATGCTCACGGCGACGTTGCTCGAGATCTGCATGAGCGACGCCAGGGCGAAAATCCAGCCGTAGAAGTTGATCCCTGGTAACATATAAGTGAGTATTGCTTCACGTAATGCGCGATGCAGCAGACCGACGTACATCCTGTGAAGAAACCTAGTATTCGTCCCCATCGGGGGCCTCCTGCGATGGTGGCCCAGTGGTAGACGCCGCCGGCGGTCGGGACCGAAGAGGCAAGCTTGACGCTGCATCAGTTGCAGCTCACGATGTCTTCAGAACAAGGGATAGAGGTGGCAGGTACAGACCTCCGACAGACTCAGTCCGATCAGAGAGTAGTAGAAGACGGCGACCAGGAGGCCGTAAATGATGCCGGGTGGGCCACCGTTGACTAGACCAATCCCGGTTGGTTACGGACATTTAACCTGCGAGACTGAGCGTGGACTCACGAATAGAGACCGAAATCGACGAGCCCAATGCGACCCAGGCGTTGTCCACGGTGAGGGCCATGCTGGCAAGTCCCAGAAGGCCGTATTGGCGCGACAGCTGGTCCCTGTGGCCTGCAGCGTTCAGGGCGACGCCATCTTGGATGACGACGACGGTTTCGTCGTCGGAGGTGCCTGGCTCCTCGAATCTGTTTCGTACTTCTTCTCGCATCGTTGTGGATTTCTCACGTAGATGCGCTTCCAAGCGGATCTAGTGCGGTTATCTCGAGTCGTCTGCGAAACGGTGTGTGGACCGTCACGATGCACACACTTTAGGAGGGAAGACGAGGTGTAGACAATCAAGGGTGACAGTAGATACGGCAAGCCGGAAATCCCAGCGTGGTAGCCCGCACGGGAGGCGAGAAAAGAGAAAGACCAGACGGAATATGTATTATTTGAAGCAATGGGCTATCTGCTTGAGCAATGCCAACGTAGCATCGTGTAGCGCCATGTCTTGGGATGAAGATATCAGACACTTCATCCCTAGTGGTCAAGACGCAGACTGTGCGATGGCGCGGTGCTAAGATTGACGTTGCATATTCTTCTTTTTCAGCCAGTCAGCCCGCATAAGCCCATGCTGCTGTGCATCGGACTCGTAAAGCCAAGATAAGACAAGAGGCAAAATCGTACATCAGTAGCGCGTTATCGGACTGCGTGATACGGACAGGACGAGCAGTTTCTTTGCCTCGGCGTGTAGAGGATTTAGACTGTGGCATTTCGCTTCATATGTGCGCCACAACTTGCGTGGGACGGGCCGTCCAATCTGTGCCTGGCTGATGGACCATTCAGGACGGCAGGATAGCTAGAGGTCTGTGGTGTAAGGGGGATGCAATTTGACAAATGATGTTCGCCGGTGCGTGCGGAAGGATTCCAACCGGCAATGTAAGCTTTCCTTGGGCAGCTTTTCCCATGCCCATGTGGCATGTGCTACAGAATCAGTCAATGCTCGAAAGCCGGCAAACCAACCGAAGGCATATTAGTTGAGCGTAGCAAAGGATATAAACGCCAAGACGGTTTGTTTACTGATGTGTCCGATACCCACGTTTTTGAAAGAAAGAAAGAGGCGAACCGAGGCGCGCCGCGGCCTGTGCTGCATGCAATGGGAGAGAGCTGTGTTGGTGTTCGAGAGTCCGAGGTGGAAGAGCACCAGCTATGCAGCCAAGGTTCGCAATGAAACACTGCCAATTCGCATCGCGTTCGGTGTAGTGGACCGCAGTCAGAGTCTAGATCAGAGAGGCTACAGGGGACTTTTAGGCCGATACGACGCTCTCGCATCCGTAAGGTATGTATGCCTCATCTGAAGCAGCAGGCCTCGGAGGGCTGAACCAAATGTCTTGGTGAGATATTAGTGAGCGAGTTTGAGTGCCAAGCGTGATGGCCAACCGGAAGAAAAAGATGCTGGAGAATGGCTGGCTGGCTCATTGGGGTAGCACTGGAGAAACTGTTGGCGAGTAGAGTTTTCTCGCTGACCGGGTTTTGAGTCATCACGATGGTTCGCAGTTGAAGGCGATCTCCTGATGAGACAGGACGATGCCGGTGAGCGAAGGGTTAATAGATGAATTAAATAGACGAGGTTGGATGAGATGGGCTGATGTGAAGGAAGTGGAGGGATCGAGTTGGGTTGAGGGACGGAAGGAAGACTTAGCACTGTAATTAACCCCGCGGCCCGGGCATTTAGCGCCGATAGCGCCCTCGTCCTCCCTCTTTCGGTCACTTTAGCGAATATGGACAAAAGCTTAACAGAAGCACCAAGTGGGGGCTCTGCTTTTCAACGTTCCATTTCGGCGAGGAACACACACACAGAACACTCACCCTCCGCTCATCCATCTCCTCAACTTCGCGAAACAAAGATTCGCAGCTTCATATCTCCCTGTCAAACACCAATGGGCATGCAAGTCATTTGCTGCCAAGCCGCGGAAAACCAGCGCAAGTAAGCACTTTCGGGCCACTGTGCCCCTGTTTCCACGTTGCGACGACGACTCGGCAGTCGTGCCATTGGCTTGGAACCTGCCGTTGAACCTTCGCCGGCACAAGATCCCTGCCGTACGGCAAACCTTCAGGCGTCTTCTGTCTGTCGAGATCCCTTGAAGAATCTGCTGCTGTCCTTCTCCCTGGAAGCCTCGAGTCTTTTTGATGGGTTAGGGGAAGACGGTGACGCTTACACTCTTGGCAATAGAGAAACACGGTTCGGAAAGCCACTAACAAAAGCTGACATGATATCGAAATTTCTCCTCCTCTGGAACTCTTCCTCCTTTCGGCATGTCTTCTCCTTTCAGAGAAGGATGATTCTCGTCGTCTATAAATAATACCCACAAAGCATCGCCGACGAGTCTGTCCACCCAAATCCACGCAACAAGCAATCCCCTGCCCCAAGCGCCGACCGTGTCTCTCATCCAATAACCCACGAACACGGAACATCTCACGCAAACCTGTCATTCAAGAGCCCGGACACCTCCTTTCTTAACTGCCGGTTCTATCGGCCGGGGACCATGCCCAGGTAATCTCCCTGCGATGGCCACGGTTTCCCCGTCCATTCGGAATCCCATCCCGAGCACCACCTTACCGGTCATGGAATCCTCGAGGATTGTTGATCTTGCCGCTTTTTGTTTTCAGGCACATTACATGGGCCCCGAGGGAACCGTAGGAACGGCAGCTTTTCTCGTGCAGGCATCCGGCTGGACGTCAGCTTGAATCCTGGTGCCTTCTTAAATGTGAGACGCTGAACTCATCATTGCAAATGGGGTATATACATAGGCAGACGACCCCCATCCTGAAGGAATCTTTCGAGAACCTCCAGCGAGTTCGTTCTGCCCTTTTCGTTCTTTAATCTGTTGATTACTTATTCCGTTGCGATGTTTTCCATTCAGCATCACCCGTGCGGGTACCTCCTCCTAGCCTTGATTTCCTCCTTGGTGCTTGTAAAAGCGGCCCCCAACCCTCCCAAGGCCTGCCCCCCGTTCACCAAAGGCAGCTTCACAATCCAGCAGTACCAGCTGTACCCCGAAAATGCGGACTGGGACGTGATCAACTGTATCGTCTACTTTGGGTACCTGAGCCTGACCCCTCTTACACAACTCACGCACTAACCCCGTCCCAGGTCCTTGTTCAACGCCAGCGTAGCCGTGTACGACCCGTACAAGGACTCGGTGGTGGACATCCTCACCTTCGACGGCATCACGCACAACCAAAACCTCCACATCGGCGGCGTCCAGGTCGACCAGCACACCAAGCTCGTCTCCGTGGTCGTCGACGCCGCCGCCGCCTTCAACACCGCCGGCCAGGACATCTCGGGTGACAACTTCATCATCAAGTACGACCCCGCCAAGAAGCAGGTCCTCTGGAACAAGAACATCACCGCCGTGACACAGGGCCAGTACGGCGGCTTCCAGGACATCGAGCACGACCCCCGCGGGAACACGTATGTCGTCGGCTCGTTCCCGGGAACCATCATGAAAGTCGACCCCGAGGGGTCCGCCGTCGATCCCTGGTTCCTCCCGCAGCAGATCAACCACACCAAGATGGGCTTTTCCGGGCTGGCGGCGACGGGGGATATCCTCTTGGCGAACAACAACGAGGACCGCCAGATCTACCGGTTCAATATGAAGGACGACAAGGGAAAGCCTGAGCTGGTGCCGAGAACGCCCGAGGTCAGCCTCGACAGCACGGATGCGATTTACCTGCCGCCGAGGTATGACGGAAAGGTCCTGCTCATCGCAGAGAACCTCAAGGGCATTACCGTCTTGCGGTCCAAAGATGGGTCGTGGAAATCAGCTGAGCACTTGGGCACTGTTCCCAACAACTCTACAGCAGCCCAGGGCGGGATCGTCACGGCGCCGGTGCAGATTGGGGACAATCTCTTCATGGTGGAGGAGTTCTTCGCAGACCCTCCCGTGTCCGGCTCAACCGCAGGAAACAGAACGAGTTTCCCATTGGTTGACATCACTTCTGACGTTGAAAGGTTGCTGAAAAAGTCAGCCAGCCGTAGATGAGCCAGATCAGCGGACCGAGAGTAATGAAACACATCATCTTTTCTACACTTTGATACATCTTATACACACCCTGATTAACTCTAAACACTGGTAACGTCCCCGAATCCGATCTACTGCCAAAATTCCAAGGCATCATGTAAAATCGCCAGAGTCCAAATCGCGAGTACAAGCCAACATGACGCCCAAATGCCGTCGGGGTATTACCAAGCTGAGTAGGTCCGAATCAACAACCAACTACCCAGATGCGCAGCCAAGGTTCGCTCGAAGAAATAGGATAACCGCCGAAACCTCAGAATTGGATGCCGGGGTGTTCGTCGTACAGAGTCGAAAAGGGATCGTCCTCCTCGATGCCCAGAATCTCGTTTGCTTCTCTCAGCCAAGCCGGGGTCGGTCCCAACCGGGTGGTAGGCGGCTGGGGTTGATACAATTCCTCTTCAAATTTGTCCTCAAAATCAGCCGTCTTAGCTCCCATCCATGCGTCTTTTCCATTTTTACTCCAGGGGCTGACATCTTCCTCCACCTGCTTCGGCATGGCCGTACCCTATCCGGGGCCGAAAAGGTGTGAGGCTCCAAAGTCTTCCCTGAAGCCAAGGAACTCTCCTCTCTTACCCGGCATCGGCTCTCCATTACCTGAAGGCGAGATCTTGGAGACGTCCCTTCCGAACTTGTCCTTGTAGATGACATTGCCCATACCGTCAGCTTTCATTACGGCAATCTGAACGGGCTCGCCATTGTAAGGATCGATCAGGCAGAAGTGGCGGCCGATCTGGAAGGGGCCTTTGTGCTTGTCCTTTGCGAGCTCGCGCGCTTTCTCGACCTGGCGACCAACCATGCTCTGATGCTCGCTAATGGGCTGGGGGTGCAGCATCATCATCTGCAGTTGAGCGTCGGACTCCTTGGTGGGCTTGAAGGGATCTGCCAGCTTTGTCTCTCGGATCGGGCTGCTGCTCATCATAGCGCCAGGAGCGTACCGGCTTGGGGATGGAGTGATTGTGCTGCTGGATCCGTTGCTGGACATAGTGTTCGAGGTGCCATCAGAGGTCGGCAATGCGACCTTTCGGAGTGACGAAGGGCGGCGAGGTGTCGACGGCGTGCTACTCGATTGACGGTATCCCGGCGGACTGCTAGATGGAACAAGGCTGGCTCGGTTGTTTCTATCGGTGTCTACATGAAAAGGTTAGCTAATCTTGGTAACTCTGGGCATAAGGTAGTGTTCATACGAAGTTGCATGCGGGGCATGTTTCCGGACGAGAGGGCGACCACCATCGGATTCTGCGTCGGACGACCAGAGGGGCTGAAGTGCGAAACGTTGGCTTAGATTGTCAGTAAATCTCTGGATGAATATCGAGATGAGACTAACGAGAGTATTCCATCTGGGACATGTAGGAAGCCATAGACGCGCCGTCCAAGTCCAGATCAAGAGGGTCGCTCGGGAAGGCAGGACCTGGGGAGACGGACTTGGGGCTCGAATGGCTCATCTGATCGTAGGAACGCTTCAGACGGGGAAGCTCCATATTTTCCCGAATATCGGAAGCGCGTTGCTGCATGGCGTTTTCGGCGCGGGAGTTCGGGATCGCCAGGTGGTTGCGGACTTGGTCGGCACGGCGCTGCATCTGAGGCTCGGCAGGGCGGGGCAATGTCGAGATTCCTGATGAGACACGCTGAACGATACTCCGTGTGACTTCTTCGGCTGCCTTGGTCGGGACCATGGGTATGGCTAGTTGAAAGACTCCAGGCGACTAGAATTTTACCGGAAACTGCCTGGCGAGGTGTCGCAAACCGGTTAACCAAGGAGGTGTAATGAAGGTCAAAATGCATGCGAACTGCCAATGTCGGCCGTGATGTGGACTCCGAAGTGTCGTTCTAGAGAAAGAACGAAGGTAGTTAGTTGGGTTGTGGGAGTCGAGGATGGAAAACTCCAGTAAAGGCTGCCTCGACACAAAAGAATATTGTCGAGTCGCACGTTATGCGGTTGCTAGCCTCGAGCTCCTGGTGAATAAGACGTTTGTTTACCTTCGCGTGGGTCTGCAAGGCAGGCAGACTTGGGAAGGTGCTCTTGGTCGTGTCGTGGCTTCCTTTGGCGTGACAAACATGTTCTTTACACAGCCTTCCGATGACCTGATCAAGCAACGTCGAATCAGACCAGCTCCTTGTCTAGGTTTGTTGACACTACCTACCCCTTACCTCTTCCCCAAGCATCACCAAGCAACAATTTGAACCAAGTGGGATTGCGATGTCTAATCGTTTATATTGAATGATTTGTGGTTGCCTCTTGCGTTTCTTGAGGCTTCATTTACATCTCTTACATTACTCGACCTGGAACCCTCGCACAGTCCAGACAAGACACATAGATATCCTGCATCCATGACCGAAGGCAGCACCCGTCCAAGGCTTCAGCAGCCAGTCCCGAAGCCATCGCGAATCCCTCACAGCAAGCAACCTGCGAACACCCGAAAAAGGGCCACCACAGATCCCGTCCGCAAGCGAACCCTCAAAGACGCTGCAAAAACCTGAACCTAGACTTGGGAGGCTTCGCAGGCGGCATCTCGGGCGGGTTTCCGTTGCCCGGCATGCCTGGCATGCCCGTGCCGTTGTTCGGGGGAGAAGGATTTCCCTTTCCTCCGCCCGGCTTGTCGCCGCCCTTACCACCGCCTTCGCCAGGCTTGTCGCCGCCTTTGCCGCCGCCTTCACCAGGCTTGTCGCCGCCCTTTCCTCCTCCTTCTCCTCCTCCTCCACCACCGCCGCCACCTCCACCACCACCACCTCCGCCGCCGCCTCCTTCACGGCAGCCACTTGCAAATAGCATGACCTCAGCGCAGTTCGCACCCTGGTCAGCCTTCTTATAGACGTTGTACTGCTGCTGCTCGGCCTCACACTGGAAGAACTTGGTCTGGTTCTTGAACGTGATCTGCCCGTCGCAGCCAACCGAGAACCCAGAGTCGGGCTTCTGGCCAACGTCACACTGCAGAGTCTCCGTGGGAGCTAAGTCGTCACAGTCAGTTTTCGGAGTCTTCAAAATCACAGACAACCGGATTTACTTACGAGTCCACCAGCAGCCTCGCTTCTTGTCATCGTTGACCTCCCCCTTTTCCATGTGCATGGTCGCCGGCTCCAGTCCGATTCTGAGCTGTCCGCTTTCCAACTGGCCAATGGAGCCGGAAACAGAGCCCTTCGCCATGAACTTGAACGACTTGCAGTCTCTCAGACGGCCGCCCTTACAGTCATCACCTCCCTTTCCGCCTCCACCGCCGCCGCCTCCTGGGCCAGGGGGCGGCTTGGGCTTGTCACTAGCTCCGGGTTTGTCAGGCCCCGGCTTATCAGGTCCACCCGGTGGTGGCATCGGCTTGGGTTTGTCGCTCGATCCAGGCTTATCAGGTCCGGGCTTGTCAGGCCCAGGCGGCGTCTTCGGGGGGTTTTCACCACCCGGAGGCATCGGCTTGGGCTTGTCACCTCCGCCCGGCGGCGGCATAGGCATGGGCATTGGCATTGGCATGGGCGCGTCACTTGCTCCAGGCTTGTCCGGGCCCGGCGGCATCGGCTTCGGTTTGTCGGGCTTGTCGCAGTCTTTAGGGCCCTTACCACCGCCATGACCACCTCCCGGGAAACCACCTCCCGGGAAGTGGTTATCGATCTGAGGGTCCGCATTGTCCCTCTTCGTCCCACCACCGCCGCCGCCTCCTGGACGTTCGCCAGCGCGGCAACCTTCTCCACGGCCGCGGCCGTGTTCGGCAGCCAAGGCATTAGCGTCGTCTCTGCTACCGAGGGAGAGAGCAAGGGAGCTCGTAGCCAGGGAAACGACAGTGATTACCGACAGACGCATCTTCCTGTTCTCTCTCGAGGGATGTACAACTTTTGAGTGGTATAATACAAATTAAGAAATGGGTGACAAACGAACGTCACACGGCCCGTCAGGGGAGTATGCCCTTGGGGGAAAGGAGTTTACTGTCGGAATGGGTAAGGTGAGGAAGATTTATTCGTCTTCTCTACACGAAAAAAGCGAATGCTGTCGTGAAGAAAGGGGGAAGGGGGCGACGGTAAGCACTAAGACGATGGACGACAGACGAAGTCTTCTTATCTTTTTTAGGCTTTTCTTTTCGAACCACCTCGAAAGCTTGAGAAACGACATCGGAGAGAGGGGACATGGCTGCGAACACGAATCACAACGTGAGGCGGCCGTCAACTGACTAGCCGGGCGAGAGCAGAAAAAGTCTGGCCGGAGCGGAAAAGGGGGACGAGGGGGTCGTGAGGGGGAGGGGTTGGCGGGGGTTCGATGATGTCCGACGACGATGTCAACATCATGAGAGAGTCATTCAACAAAGAGGGGTGTGTGTGGGATGGGTGTGGGTGGGCAGAGAGAACAACCAACAGGGGGCCTGAGGAGGAGGCCTGGAGGAGGCCTCGACGAGGCCTGGGTAAACATGATCTCATGAACCACATACGGCATTCGTACAAACATCGGATACGGCATCCACGTGGAGACTTAAAGGCAATTGCCCTTCCAGTCTTTTTTTCTGCCGCCTCTCAGAAGCGAAGGAGATCATAAAAGATCAAGCTATAGAACTTCAGATGGAGCCAGATCGAGATGACATCTTGGCTGGGAGAAAGGGGGTGCGAGAAGTTAGAATCACGAACTGGCGAACCACGCAGAAACAACCACCAAAGGCGGTGACTTTTCCGACGACTTGGTTCGATTGGGCCAAGGAATAAAACTCGGAGGATTAAAAGGAAGATGGAAAAAACTCTCTTGCTTAGTCCTGACAAGAACTCAAAACCTTGCCATTCAAATCACCCCTCTTCTTTCCATCCCCTCATCTTCGCTTCTCCGTCGCCCGATCTTTCCAGGGACTACGCGGCAAGATGCGGCGGTGAAGCGAACGGCCAAGGTCAAAACAAACATGGGGAGGGAACCGGAGAGAAACAAAGTTTGCATCGAACGAATCATTTCTATTCTCTTGACTGATGAACGAGAGTCATTGTGTATGTGTGTGTATCTTTCTCTAACTCTTGGAATCTTTTTCTTTTCTTCCCTTGCGAGACACTGAGTCGTCCTCCACTAGAGACGATTCGGGGGCAGACGAGGTTTCGTTTCCTCGAATCACAAAATGGGGCCTTGTTCCACGGGCAAAGACTCGTTTGCCGTTTCGATTGCGACGAAGACATGGGTATCATACGGTTAAACACACTTCAAAGCTCAGCTCTTCCCCAGACGCGTGCGTGCGGAGCCTCGGAACAAACACCTTGCGGCTGAAAGCCCGTGCCATGCTGGTGGGAGGAACAGGGAAGTAGGGGTTTTGCGGTTCTCCGGAAGAGCCGCATTCGGGTCGCCCAACATCGAAACGGGGTGCAGGTTTAGGCCGCAATCAGGTTTGTAACGGCTGCCGTTGCCCTGTGATCTCATACCAAACAGTGCGGTGACCGCACGCTGGCGGGCGCTGAACTTTAGGATCTGGAGTCCCTGAGTCGGCCCGATCGACGATGATTGGACTGTTTCCCTACCCGAGCTGGCGACGTTGCCGAAACTTCGGCGACGCGACGGATCAACATCATCTAGCTTTTCAGAGAGCCTCATGTCTTTCTCCTCTTGGCGGCAGTGCTGCTCCTAGTACTCCTAGTACTGGCGCGATCCGAGATCGCACGGACCGAGGTATTGTAGCTTGTCTCCGAGGCAGCGCCGTCACCACCCTCACTGTCACTTGCGGAGTCGTCATCAGAGTCAGCGTCCAGCGGGATCATATCGTCCGAGGCTTCATCGGCGTCTTCAGACGCCTCGGCCAAGGACTTGTCGCCCTCGGCCTTACCGTCTTCGGATCCGAAACCCTCAAACTCATCATCGTCCTCCTCCTCTTCCTCATCATCGCTGTCACCAGCGACTGTGGAAGGTCCCATTGAGGTATCAGGCATGCTCTCAGCATTCTCAGCGTCATCCCGCTTTCGCTTCAGGGGCATCTCTCCGAGTCTACCACCGCGACCCTCCACGGCCTCACCCGCCTCGGCATCCTCATCCACCGGCGCAGGAGTGAACCAGGGAATCTTGCCGCGCATGAAATCGTTGAGGATCATCTTGGCGACACCATCCACGTCAGGCTCTCCCTTGCGGAGGAGACGACCGCTCTTTCGGGCAATCATCTCGAGGAACTCTGTGTGGTTCTTCCAGCCCTTGAGTTCGTAAGTCCTCTCCATGTGGTGAGGCTTCACCTTGGCGAGTACGGCAGGGATATATTGTTCAGGGTGCTCGACGTTCTCGACACGCACAACACCACGCAGAAGCAGGTCCTGAGGCGTGTCCGTCTGAGAAGGCGGGACGATACCAGGGCAGTCAATGAGGTCTGGGCGTGTTAGCTCATGCACATTGACTTCGAAAAAGGTGAAGGCGACTTACAGATCTTCTTGGTGAGAGTGATGTATTGCCAGACCTTGGTCTCGCCAGGAATTGGCGCAACGTTGGCGACCTTCTTCTTCCTCAAGGTGTTGACAATACTGCTCTTGCCGACGTTGGGGTAGCCGATGAGTCCGACAGAGATCTGCTTGCGCTCGCTGTGGAGCTTGGCGTACTGTCTGAGCAGCTCAATCAAACTTCCCTTGCCGAAGGGGTTGGTAATGCTAGAGTGCATGGCGAGCGTTGGCCTGACCTTGGAGAAATATCGCACCCAACGAGCCTGTGTCCTGTTAGCTTCCGCTTAAGAAAACAAACGACACAGTCATATGTGATGATATGTATGCTTCGCTACTAAGAAAACCGCCATATCGAGGCTCGGAAGAGCACTAGCAGAGTTCAACTCAAAGTGATGCAATTTCGTCTCATGATGGGAAATCCAAAACGGACCCCATCAGCCCTGATCCAAGGACCAGGACAGCGAGACGACCCTTGATATTCCCAGCGTGTAACGGAGAACCTTCCATTGAGGGCAACAGAGTGCGAAAGGATTCCTGACAAAACGACTGGGGTCTGGAGGAAAGGTAGGAAAAGAAGGAGACAAAAACTTACAGCTACGCTGGTGGGCACCAAATCGGTCTTGTTCAAGACGAAGATGAGGTGCTTGTGAGGAGCCTCCTCTGAGAGGTATTTCTCAACACTCTTGCAGCGCGTGCCCAGAGGGTCGCGAGCGTCGAGGACGTGGATGACAACATCGGAAGAATCCAACACGCGGTACAACTCGTTCCAGATACGCTTGCTCTGTCCCTTGTTGAAGATGGGCTCGATCGACATGGTAACGTGACCCTCGTCCTCGCCGTCCGCCGAAGGTCCCGAGTTTCCACTGAGCAGCTTGGCCTGCTCGAGGCGCTCGTTGTAGGTGTCCAAGCTCTTGTCCGCGTCGTCCATCAAGTCCGTGATGGTGCCCGAGCTGATCTTGACACGCTTCCTCTGCGCCTTGGGGCCGAAGGTGCTGCCGAAAGAGGATGTCTCAATCGTCATCTTGGCCTGGTGCTTCTTGAGGCCGTTGGTCTCGCCTTCCTTGATGAGAGACATGGGAAGCTTGTTGCTCTTCAGGAGGACCGAGTACGGGTCGGCAGCCTTCTCCGCCATGGCACTGCGAAACGCTGTCAAGCTCTCTTGGGAGATGACGCGAGTGTTGTTGAACCACTTGCGGTTGGGCTCGATCCGGGCGTTGGGAACTTCGCGGCTCTGGAACGACGCGGCCTTGGTGATCTCACCGTCGGCATTGCGCTGGGCCTTTCCATCCTTGAGGATATTCAATTGGCGCACTCTCTTGGCAGAGCTGCAAAGATATGTTAGGGACGCGTCCAATGGGGCCAAAAGCCATGTTCCTGAAGCAGGAAGGCGGATAGGCTTACCGATAGAAATTTTCGCCCTTGGTCTTGACATTGCCCATGCCATCGCCGGTCTTGCCCTGGCGAACCTTTCGGTTCGCCTCCTTCTTGCCGGTTCCCATCTTCTTTTGACCGCGAACTCGCCCAGTCGTAAAATTGAAAGAGAAGAGGGAGGAAGACTGGGCAGGAGTTGAAGTCGGTGAGTTGTTAAGGAAGGTTGAGAGAGGGAGGTTGGAGCTCGCGCAAAAGAAGAAGTTCTCTGCGCGCTGGTGGGGTCCTGGCATTTTTTTAGTGGAGTTGCTGAAATTTTTGGAGACTTCGGGTCAAGCACGCGCCGTACCCCCGACCAGCCAATCAAGACTCCGATTGACTCCTCCCCGCTGTGAATGGCACATTCACGCCCCGGTGTTGTCTCTTACTGGTACTGCTCACCTGCTGGCAGACGGAGAGTAACCACCCATCTGCCCCTCCAATCAAGCCACCGGTGTGTTTCTATCAAACCCTGGACAATCGAGAATTTCTCAGGTCCATGATCCTACCACCACAGCAGGTCATCTCAAGCCGCGAGCCGACTCCATTCCCAGCGCCGTCAATCTCCTCACAGTCGGTGCCATTAAGTTGGTCGAAGCCGACTAGGCCAAAATGTCATCACGATGCGCATGCGCGCGCCTGGCACGGCTCCCCGTCGCCGCTGGATCCAGCATGAACCTCACACGACCCTTCTCGACCACGACTGCGAACCTCAAAGTGCCTCCTGAATCCCCCGAATGGATCCAGGTCCCGGTACCGCCTCAATCTCAGTCCTCTGAGCAGAAGCTCAAGGTCATTAGGGGAACTCTCCCCGTGCCCCGCGACCCCTTCCCGCGCAAGGAAGGGGACCGCAAGGTCAAGCCCGAATACCTCGAACAAACGGCCCCGACACCCTCGAACGAAGCCTCCCAGAGGCCTGTCGAGCCAGGCTCTCGCAGGGAGCACCGCCGACTCATGGCTGATAGCCGTCGTGAGAACCTCAAAACCGCCCTCAAGGGCCTCTACCAGCGCAAGAAGACCACCGTCGATGCCATATCAGCCACTTCGAGGCAGCGTCGACTCGATAACGCACGCGCAGCCAAGGCCCCCGAGCGTGAGGACGACCGTCTCACCCGTAGCTCAGTTCTGTCATCTCTCAAGACTACAATGTCTGTGGACCTTGATCCTCACCGTTACGAGCGCGCTGCGGAGAGCAAGGCTAAGACCGCCGCCCTCGCCCAGCAGAAGACCGATGCGAAACGGGATGCGCTTATGGAATTGTACATTAACGCCTCCAACTTCATCGTCACCGAGGAGGAACTGAACGATGAGCTGGACAGGCTGTTCGCCGAGGATTTCTGGAAGCGCCAGGGCCAGTCTATGGTCATGGACCAGGAGAACGCTTGGGACGTCTGGGGAGCGCCCCCAACGGTGCAGACCATGTTGGAGGAAATGTTCAAGAGAGAGACGAACGCCATCGACTCGCAGCAGACCGAAGGAACCAGGTCCGTCAACAGACAGAAGACAATTGCCGAGGAGTTGACCGGTGGCAAGATGAAGGGTTCAGACTAAAGAGCCGGCTCAGCTGGCGGGTCGTACACAAATTGCGGTTCAGGCCTGTAAAATCTCACATCTTCAGTTGTGGTGGCTTGAACCAGACAGCATCCGCATGTCACGCCTGGGTGCAATGTCGCCTGGGTGCATTCAACTTGTACTACCATAGATTCTTTGTAGCATTATAAAAGCCATCGATATCAAACTAACAAGACGTACATGTCCTCCAACGCCGAAGAACCCCATATGCACATTGGCAGGCTTTTGCCAGTCGAAATAGAAACTGTTGTATGTGTCTGCGGGATCTCTATGAAAACGACCGGAGCCGCCACGTTCTTGATGCTGGCGGCCTTGATGCTCCATAATCGTACACTCGTATACCAAAGGTACTTTTGCCGCCAACAGGCATGGCTCATTACCTCTTCTCAACGAGAAGGATGTGCATGGCAGCATAAGCAAGGATGATGAAGACGACTCCAAAGACACCGAGGCTAATAACATCGGTCCAGAGAGCATCGTTGTTGAATCCGAAGGAGCTGAGAATGGCTGCTCCAGGGACAGTGATGTCTAGTCCGTACTTCTTGTCGACCAAAGTGAGTTGGAGGACTTCGTTGACTATGAGAGACTCGAAACCGTAGTGGAAAATGGAGAGAGTCTGAAGCCAGATAGCGGCCTTAGGAATAGCGTTGTGGTTGAGCAGTAGGCCCGCAAAGAGCAAGCTGAACAGCATGACCAAGCTGCCAATCAAGTTAGCTACTCCGCCATCCTTGCAGATGATGCCGATGAACAAGCAGATTGCGGCAGCTGCCAGGTTGAAGAGGACCAGGACGAGGATGAACTTGAAGAAATGGCCGGCTTCAGGAACCAAGCCAGTCATTGGGTAAATGATGGCACCCATGAGAAGGGGAGGGATGATTCTCAATGGGACGATGTCGAACAGAAGCTTGGCCGCAAAGTATGTGATGGGATGGTAGTAGCCGTTGGCTCGCTCGCGCACGAACAAGAGTCTCTCGGTGGCAAAGACGTTCAAGCTCGTGAGTGTGCTAAACCCGAAAAGAGCCAAGAGGAAGAAGAAGAGACCCAAGCGGTTTTGGAATCCGGGAATGTCGTCAGTCAAGCCGTAAAACAGGTATCCAGACAGAACCGCGAGAAGGATGGCGATGGCGTAGTGCGTCAACATCAGAATTGGGTTTCTGTAGAGGTTCTTCCAGGTTCTGTTTGAGAGAATGATGAATTGGCGACCAAGACCGACCCGAGCATAGCCCTTGCCGATGGCGCTGATGTTGATGTTGGGGCCCTCTGGGTTGTATCCGTTCGCATTCTGGCCGTTGGCGCCTCGGGCAGCTGAAATCGATTGCTGGATCTCATCGTGTGTGGAACCAGCGATATCCGACTCCGCAAAGGATCTGATCAACATGTCCAGATCGGTACCGATATAGGCAGCAGGGGGAAGATCATGGGGATCCTCAACGTTGATCGTGGGAACAAAGCCAGCAGGTTGGTTCTGTAGCTTGTAAGATCCAACATCCTCACCGCCAGCGTCGGAGGAAGCCGCAGTGTCGACAGTGTTCTTGCGACGCGTGTAGAGCTCCCGCTCCTGACGAATCCTGACCGAGTCGCGGCGGCTGTTCTTTGGGCGCGAAGTGGAAGATTCGACACCACTGTCCTCAGCAATGCTTCCAGGGATGCTCGCAATGGACTTAACAGCAGTAGTGCTGCTGGGTCCCAGGCTGGCGACTTCCGCGTTGAGGGTGCCATCATCCTCTGACGTAGTAGATCCGGCATGCATCGTGAGGTCGACGAGGTAGTCTGCAATGTTGAAACCGGGAGGGCATGAGTATCCAATACGGTCGAAGTAGCCCTGGCATTGCGAAAAGGGGCCAGAGTAGACCGCGCCTCCGCGCGCCAGCAAGATGAGTCGGTCGAACAGCGCCACAATGTTGGATCGCGGCTGGTGAATCGTGAAGACAACAGTTCGCTTGTAGTTCTTGGCCAAGGTGACCAAGCACTCAATGACGTTGAAGGCATTGTAGGCGTCGAGACCGCTAGTAGGCTCATCCAAGAACAGGATCGAGGGGCTGGTGACAAGTTCACAGGCGATACCAACTCTGCGCTTCTCTCCGCCAGAGATACCTCGACCCTTGCCTTCCTCAGAGCCAATCAGTGAATCACGAATGTGGTAGATTCCAAGTTGCTTCTCGACTTCGAAGACGCGCTGTTCCTTGGCGGTTCGGCCCATATTGCGAGGCAGACGGAGAAGCGCACTGTTGAGAATAGTCTCATGCACCGTGAGGGTGGGCAACATCGTGTCTTCCTGGTCGACGAATCCAATCACATTCTTGTAGTCCGTGTCGTTTACCTTCTCGCCGTTGACGAAGAAGTCGCCAGAAACGTTACCGCGCTTGTTCTTCCGAGCCAGGATATCAAGGAACGTAGTCTTTCCAGCACCCGATGCACCCATTATGGCGGTGACCTCTCCGGGATGGGCCATGCCTTGGATGTTGTTCAAGATCCTCTTGCCGTTGAGCTCGTAGGCAACATTCTCGAAGTACAGAGAGGCGGGCTTGTGGTTGGTCATAAGCTTCAAGCTCTCATCATCCGAGTCATCCAAGGCGATAGCGCCATAGTTGAACTGCCTTCTAGACAGGTACCAGGTGAGAAGAATGATGGCAACGACAAACAGGGAGCATGCCGCGATGATGCTGGCGATAAGCGGAGTGTTGATCTTCTTGACGGGGCGCTCATAGCCAGGGACCTCGGTGTGGTACAGACACTCGCCGGAACGGCAAGTGAGCTGGATGCTGCTATCGCCGATCAGCTGAAGGATGAGATCGTCCATTGCGGGCTCTTTAAACGCGCAGTTGTTGATCCCTCCATTCTTTTGAAGACACTCAAACTCGGCGGGGCCCTTGATTTCCTCGACGAGGAAGTCGCTAATGTCGACGGAACCATTCTCGCCACAAAGCATTCGCTCGGAGATGCAGTTGCACTCGATCTTGTTGCACTTGTAATCGGTGCTATTCTGGCTCTCATTGATATCGGCCTTGGACGAGCACTCGGTCAAGTGGCAGTAGAAGGACTCGCGCTCGTCAACCCAGACTGAGGATGGTTAGCAACAGATGTTGACTCGGAGCTTGAAGCGCAAGGACTCGGCTCGGACTTACATTGGAAGTCACAGTTGCCCTCCTCTTTCTTACAAGTGAAGGTAACCTGGGGTCGCTTGTCGCCCAGAAGGTCGGTAATCTTCTTGTTGGTGACATCACAGATCTGGTAGTTGTGGTTGATGACCTCGCCATTCTGGTAGCACACGCCACCCTCTTGTGAGGGCATTAGAGCGTTACACGCCTGGTTGCTCGTGCAGACGTTGCAGTTGATGCCGGTCCAGCCGTCGTCGCATTCGCAAAGGTCGCCAGATCGTCGTGGCCTGTCGGTGTTGTCGCCACGGGAGAGAGAACCGCAAACTATCGAGGGTGTCAGTGATGCGCCTCGCTTGTGCGACAAATCGGTTCAGAAGTGGGCGGCGTACGTGGTTCGAGGCAGTCATCACCGCCGAAACCCT